CCCCCCCCCCCACCATTCTCCTCCTCCTCCCCCTCATTCTCCTCCTACTACTACTCCTACTACTACTAGGGTTACTGCTCTTCTTCCTCCTTCTGCCTTCTTCCTCCTCCTCTTGCTTGTCTTCGCCATCATCCTTACAACCTGACAGGAATCAGCGGCCTGTAATCCCACCGCACTGTCCCTTCCTTGTCTCAAAGCTTATCGAGGTCCTCAAACTCCACCTCTCTTCCTCCTCCCCCCTGTCCTTCTTGCCCTGCTCTCTCCTCTCCCTTGAATCGCGTTCTCGTCTCTGCTCCTTCCCTCCCTCCCTCTTGCTCCCTCCTTCTTCCTCCCCGCTTCTTTTTCCCTCCCTCTTCCTCCTTCTCCGTCCTCTACCTCGTCCTTTCCGTCACCCCCACTTGCTATCAGGACATGTGGGCGCCTCTTCCAGATGCGAGACCAGATTTTTACGCGATCAGCCATGTGAGCAATGGGAGACTGGCGAGGAGGAGGAGACTAACGGGGAGAAAGAAGAGACCAACGGGGTGGAAGGGGGGAGAAGGGGGAGGAGGGAGGGGTTTAGGGGAGAGGAAGGGAGAGAGAAGGAGGGTTGTAACGGGGACATCAGGTGCTGATGGAGCAAGGAGCAATCCGACCCCCGAGGATGCGAGCGACCTTTCAGAGCATCCTCGCTATGTAAATTCTAACAAGCTTGCCTTGATCCCCCATTCCCTTCCTTCGCCTTCTCCTTGACATCCCGGGCCTCACTCCTCCACTTTTCTACCCTCACTCCTCCCTCCAAGGCTCCTCCTCGTCCCTTCCCCCACTTTCTTCTACCTCTTCCCTTCACTCCTCCATACCCAGCTGCTTCCCAGCAGAGCTTCCGAAGTTCCTAGGTAGACCTGCTTGCTAGCTAGCAAGGCAAAACAGACTGAGAGGCAATACGATTCCGCCACAGAGAAATGAATAGACAACTTAGAGAAAAGGCAGCTCGAACTCTTGCACTGTCTTCTACCCCAGCTAAGTTTAGAGCTGAGGCAGGCACGGAACAAAGGGGGAATAAGCCGCTGAGTGATTCCTGCTCTTGACAGTGATGACTTGCCCTTGAAGGCTTACCCGGTAACGGTGTAGGCTTTCCTTTACTTTTCCGTTAATTTCAAGTTCGACACGACGGGCCCGGCGGCTTACGAACTGAGTGACGGGACTCGGCCCGGCCAGCAGCCCGGCCGCTCAGCGGCTACCATCCTCAGACGGTCTCTAAGTCTACTAGTACGCTCCTCCAGTCCTCATGCTGGCAGGCAGCTCAGACGCTCCGAGCGGCCCAGCACTGCGGCAGAGGCGGGCCCGAGTCCTTTCAAACGTCACTGAGTCAGTACTGATTTTTAACTTAACCTCATTGAGTAAAGATTCCTCAAGGGGTCCTGATGCGGGCCCTACTGATGGGATGCTACCGTCGCGTTTACATGTATTTTATAGCTGTACCATTCAGTTTCAGTCAACTGTATTAATCGCCACCACCTCCGTCCCCTCCTCCGTCCCCTCCTCCGTCTCCGTCTCCCCCCCCGACTCCTCCGTCTCCTCCTTGCGCGCTCCGCTCTGCCACAAACGCTCAGCGGCTCTCAGCGACGCAGTGACTTCCGAAACAAGCAGCTAGCACATCGAGAGCTCAGGAGCGAGCATCGTACCTTGAGCCAGGCGAGCGGCGATCTGTGGGGCAACTTGAGTGGGCAAGAGAGGCTAAGGAGGAGCTCTTACCTTGGCTGCCGGGAGAGTTTGAAAGATGATCAGTCCTGGTCCAGTGTATTCCGTGTTGAAGAGGCCCTGCAGCAGCCCCGTCAGCTCCTGCCTCCCTCTCCCTCTCCCTCCTCTCATCCTCACCTTGCCCCCGAAACACATCATCGCGCAACCCCCAGCTCTTCGGATGCTCACATCAACCGTGGAGGACACAGCAAGCATGCAGTCCTGCCCACCTCCGCGTCACTCCCACCATTCTGATCGCAGGTAGCGTCAACCGTATCAAAGATGTACTTCTCCCCTGGAGCAAGGTTCTTGGTCATGATCTGCCATCTTCATCTCAAACTCCATCGCTCGGTCCTCTGTGCTCGTCACAAGGCTCCTGCCGCTCCTCCATCAGGCTCCATACCTGCCCAACGTGGCCAGGAAGGATCCTTTCTGAATGGTGATGCCGCTGCGAGTTTATCATCCTCCTCTCCTCCCCCCCTCCTCTCCTCTCCTCTCGTTTCTCCTCCTCTCCTCCGCTCCTCCGCTCCTCCGCTCCTCCGCTCCTCCTCTCTCTTCAACTGCATCCTCCACCTCTATCGCTCATCTTACCTATCAAGCTCCACCACTCTCGATCACGCTCTCGCTGCACCTGTACACTGAGAGGTCGAGGGGAATGATCTTGGACGGCACCATGGCGGCGGCTGACAGGGTCTTGTCGGTCGACGACTCATTCTTCCATTTCAGTCGGAAGATGTCTTCATCGGCAAGAAACGCTCCCAGAGGGTTTTGCAGGGAGGTCACTGGCTTCACTCCATCATCCGCATGCACCATGCACCCGGGCTCCATCATCACCTCCTGCCGCTCCTCTCAGAGCTGCAAGCGACATCTCAAGGCTGCTGCATACCTGCCCCGGTGCAAGCCTGAAGACTATCAACTGCGAGTCGGTTCCGATGATTTGCCATGGAGCTGAGATGCGAGGAAAGGGAGGAGGAGGAGGGCGACATGGGCGATGGGAAAGAGGAGGAACAGGAGGAGAGGAGGAGAGGAGTGGTAGGAGTAGGATGAGGATAAGTCAGCGAAGCAGGACCGGAAGCCTTTCAAGCACCTCCCCTCACCGGAGGATATGCGGATTGTTCGATGCCTAAGGGAGCTACGCTCATCCTGACCGCTCCTACGTTTACCTGCGATCAACGCAGGCTGAGGAGACAGTGAGTACGAGCATTCGGAGGAAGCAACATAGCGGAAGGAAGAAATGAATACAACTGTTGCTCTCATGATCGTTTCACCATCTTCAGGCTCCATTGCGCATCACTGAGTTGTCTGCCCTCCATTCCTCCACTTTCAACAAACGTTCTGGAATGTCGTGTAATGTCTTGTACCATCTAGCAATGTTACATGTATAGTGATGTTATGTGTTGTCATGCAATGAGATGCAATGATGGGTGATGCAATGGGATCTCAATGAAGAGAAGTGAAGTGAAGTGAAGTGAAGAGAAGTGAAGTGAAGTGATCTCCTTCAATGTATCTTTTCTTTCCCTTTTATTTTCATTTCTCCCCCTCCGTCAGTAAAAAAAAACTTTGGCTATCTTTATTCGGAGCCCGGGAAAAAGAAAAAAAATTAGCATTTCAAATTTTCGAAGATGAAAAGGTTACCCGCGTACCAGGGGAGACGCTCATGCAGGCACCAGCGGGACCAGGCAGCATGAAGCCCTCACAAGCCGAGCCTTACGTGAGGCTTGTTGCATGTCTTGCGTTCCTTGATGTGTCAGAACTAGGACTACGAAAGATTGCAGGGATGCATGCCTTACTTGAAGAAGCGTATCCGAAGCATGTTCGTTATTTCCTCCAGAAGCATGCTAGTGAAATACCGGGTTTGACAGAGGACTTGTTGTTGTACAAATCAAGGAATCAGCCATGGCCAGGATCCAGCATCATGGAGTTTTACCATGATACTAAAGATTTGATAGACAACCATTACAATCCCGAGTTCCTTGCTCTTTGCAATGCAGACGGCTCTTTGCCGCCCGGACGAAGTCTGGAAGAACTTCGCATGGCAACAAAGGAGCAGTTGTGGAATAAGCACCAACTCGAACTTGTCGCCAAGAATATGCAGGCAGCGCCTTCCGAACCTCTGCCGCAGACTCCCGATCCCCTAGAAGCGCAGGAGAGTCTCGAATCACCGGAATTGTTGGCAGAACAGAAAAAGAACGGAAGTGGGCGTAGCAAGCAGACATCAGTCATACCTTTCGATGTCACCAACCCTGTTCACAGAGATTGGACCCCCTTAGGTTGGATCGCATGGCTGCACCTTGGTTTAGGTTCTCCAGAACCTCATGATAACTTTTCACTGAAACCCAGCGGAGGCGATGTACCTCCGGTACAGAATCAGATGAAACCCGACTTCCATCAGCGTATGTCGAGAAGCAGATCTGAACAACGTCGGAGACTGCGAGAGAAAAATCGTCGAACACAAGAGGAATTGGGACGTAGAGCCACAGACCTACCGGCCCCGGATAGTCTTTCCAATGTTGTCATGGCTGCAGGGGATAGACTCATGTGTCAATATCGACAAAGTCAAGAACGTACACAGAGGATCAACAATCTGCAGTTGCTCATGCAACTCACAGATCCAGGTAGTTCCGAACACGCACAGGCTAAGGCAGAACTCTTGCAGCTTTTGAAGAGTACAGCTGAACATGACAACCTCCCAAGTGTGGCACCCGACTTCCATCAGCGTATGTCGAGAAGCAGATCTGAACAACGTCAGGGATTGCGAGAGAAATATCGTCGAACACAAGAGGAATTGGGACGTAGAGCCACAGACCTACCGGCCCCGGATAGTCTTTCCAATGTTGTCACGGCTGCAGTGGATAGACTCATGTGTCAATATCGACAAAGTCAAGAACGTACACAGAGGATCCGCGAACGCAACCAGATGATCCGCGAACGTACACAGAGGATCAACAATCTGCAGTTGCTCATGCAACTCACAGATTCAGGTAGTTCCGAACACGCACAGGCTAAGGCAGAACTCGTGCAGCAACACGCACAGGCTAAGGCAGAACTCGTGCAGCTTTTGAAGAGTACAGCTGAACATGACAACCTCCCAAGTGTGGCTCAATGGGAATGTGCGTCTGGTACACCTGGCCCGTCATCCATGCTTCCAGGGTCTGTAACGAATTCCAGGAACATGGGCATTGCATCTCCTGCCTCATCTGTGGTTGCCACCCCTGTATCTCTGTCGGACCAACGTATCTTCACCAATGATGCGCTTGGAACGACAGAAAATTGTTCTCCTCAATCACGTGTTCGTGCAAGGCCAATGGATTTGGACAGATTGTTCAAAAAAACCAGAACGAACAACGTGGAGAAGGTCACAACAGCGATTTCTCACATAGATGGGCACAACTGTCCAGTGTGAATGGTATGATGCTGAGCTATGCTAGTGCAGAATGTTCTTAAATTCCTGACTCGATTTTATTATAGCATCACACCCGAAACTCTCGAGCCGTTATTTCACTGTCAGTATCCCACTGCGCCGATAGCGAGGGCTTCTTTACAGTGAAGAATCAGTGTGCTTCCCAATTCAATCCAGCCACTTAGTATACTCGTAGTCAAATCTTGGTCATTCTCAAGAGGAAGTCAATGATGTGAGGACGATGATACAAGAGGTTGTCGAGGGAACGACTCACGGTTGTCCATACCCTCATATTCCTCATCCTCCCTGTTTTCATCATCAACCTGAACGTCGGCGGCGTCTGCACCATCCGACGTCTGTGCATCATGCGCAAGTATGATGTTCCGAAGAATACAACATGTTACGAACATGTTGTCCACTTCATCCTTGTACCAAGAGTTGCACTGTATCTTCACACACCTGAAACGCGCCTTCAATCTTCCAAAGAAGCATTCCACATCCTTCCGACATGATTCCAATACTCGAGACCATTTTCGTCTATCAATATCCACTGTGTAAGGTAAAGGACATTGTAACACCCTCCAACGGTGATAACCTTGATCGACCATGATCCACAATCCTTTGTTTGTACACAACCTCCACCAACATACAAGTCAAACTCTTCTTGCACATAACGAGTCCCCTGATGCACGGATTGCAAGAATGAATCGTAGCGTGCGATTGTCTTGTCATTGTACGTTCCGGGAAATCCACTGGTGATGGACTGTGCTTTTCCACTATGGTCCACACACTTGATATGCAGTTGTTGGATATTTCTCTTTTCCTTTGTACGACGGAAGATCTTGGGCTGGACACTTGTCCCAGGGAATATGTACACAGTCACATGACGCGATACATCTAGGAAAGCCTTTCTTGCGGTACATCTCTGTGGTTTTGAAGATTTCATCCGGCGAGGTCGGGGGGTACACATACTTGGGATACTGCTATGCCATGTTTCAACAGAACTTGTGGAAAAAGTTACGATTGGATGCCTAACATGCCCGATTCCCTTCACGGATATTGTTGAAACTGTACCCTCCTCCTAACACACGCAGAACACCAAAATCATGAGTTCAAGGGGCGGCATGGACTGCCCACACACGTTGGTGATCTGATCATGATACCGTTTCTCTTCGCGAGCCAGTTTGACAGTGTCAAGAAAAACAGGACATGGCAAACGAAAGCTACGCCTGAATTCTTTGGGAGCACGTGAGGATGGTCAGCAAGTGAAGGAGATTGAAGTCTCATCAATTCAACAAGACAAGTAATAACCAGAAACAAGAACAGCGGGTCATCAACATAATGCGAGAAATTTTAGGGGAAAGTTTCATATTTTTCGTACTGAAACTTTCATATTTTTCGTACTGAAACTTTCATATTTTTCCTAGGGGAAAGTTTCATATTTTTCCTAGAAACACGTCCGAATATAAAAAGATGCCAAGACCGGTTACAACGTTTTAGAATAACCCCTACCCACCCAGAATCACAACCACCCCACATAAATGCTACTGAAGACAATTTAGCCCCTGTTCTGAACGTGAACATTACCCCTCCATGACGAGAGTATCACCCGTACAGGACTACCCCCACCTATATCGAAAGTTGATCTTATGTGAAAAGTGGTTTTTAAAAAAGAATTGACCTGACGGAGGAGAGATGAAAAGATATATTGAAGGAGATCACTTCACTTCACTTCACTCTTCACTCCACTCCACTTCACTTCACTTCACATCACATCACATCACATCACATCACATCACATCACATCACATCACATCACATCACATCACATCACATCACATCACATCACATCACATCACATCACTGCACTTCACTTCACTTCACATCACATCACTTCACTTCACTTCACTTCACTTCACTTCACTTCACATCACTTCACATCACTTCTCTTCACTTCACTTCACTTCACTTCACTTCACTGCCCTTCACTGAGATCCCACTGCTTCCAATCATTGCATCTCATTGCATGACAACACATAACATCACTATACATGTAACATTGCTAGATGGTATAAGACATTACACGACATTCCAGAACGTTTGTTGAAAGTGGAGGAATGGAGGGCAGACAACTCAGTGATGGGCAATGGAGCCTGAAGATGGTGAAACGATCATGAGAGCAACAGCTGTATTCATCTCTTCCTTCCGCTATGTTGCTTCCTCCGAATGCTCGTACTCACTGTCTCCTCAGCCTGTGTTGATCGCAGGTAAACGTAGGAGCGGTCAGGATGAGCGTAGCTCCCTTAGGCGTCGAACAATCCGCATATCCTCCGGTGAGTGAGACAATCTTGATCGGTCGGAGTCGCTGATCCAGCATGGCGGTCCTTCAGATGGCGCAGGCACTCTCTCCTCTCGACATGAGCGGACTCAACACGCTTCCTGATTGCTCCAAGTTGAACTTTTCTGGAGGTGCTTGAAAGGCCTCCGGTCCTGCTTCGCTGACTTATCCTCATCCTACTCCTACCACTCCTCTCCTCCTCTCCTCCTGTTCCTCCTCTTTCCCATCGCCCATGTCGCCCTCCTCCTCCTCCTCCCTTCCTCGCTTCTCAGCTCCATGGCAAATCATCGGAACCGACTCGCAGTTGATAGTCTTCAGGCTTGCACCGGGGCAGGTACGCAGCAGCCTTGAGATGTCGCTTGCAGCTCTGAGAGGAGCGGCAGGAGGTGATGATGGAGCCCGGGTGCATGGTGCATGCGGATGATGGAGTGAAGCCAGTGACCTCCCTGCAAAACCCTCTGGGAGCGTTTCTTGCCGATGAAGACATCTTCCGACTGAAATGGAAGAATGAGTCGTCGACCGACAAGACCCTGTCAGCCGCCGCCATGGTGCCGTCCAAGATCATTCCCCTCGACCTCTCAGTGTACAGGTGCAGCGAGAGCTTGATCGAGAGTGGTGGAGCGTGATAGATGGAGATGAGCGATAGAGGTGGAGGATGCAGTCGAAGAGAGAGGACGAGACGGAGAAAGAGGAAAGAGAAGAAAAGGGGGGGAGGAGCGGAG